TTCTTTTTCTCTCTCTCTAAAATAAAAATCAGAGGAAATAAATGACTTTCAAAGTTCTGATTAGGTGAGTACTACAATATAAAAATAAGAAATGTATCTTCAAGTTTCTGTAACTCAATGAAGATCTCAACAGTTAAACTAGAGAAAGACGAAGAAGAAGGAGGCTCAGGGAGATAGTTTGCAACTCTACGAAAAATTTATTATGGTTTTTCTAAACGTCTAAACTCTATATATTGATGTATATAATTTATGGGTTAGGTGATTTGGGCTAATTTGATGTTTGTTGGCTCAATTTGCCTTTTTTTTTTTTTTAAAGTCATAAAAATGAGTTGGGTTTTACTCGATTACTTTGAACACAATTTTTAGCACAAATGCGTGCGCGTTTTGATGTTTAGGCCCGTACGTGCGGTCAACCCGTCAAAGAAATGAGTTGATCGCATTATCACGCACATAACCCATATGCGGAGTGTTTCGAAACGCATCAAATTTATGCACGTATATGTTTCACATATGCGTGCATTTTAGAACACTTAATAAGCCTGTTCACAATTAATCTCATAAGATCCAACTATTACGCTAATAGATGTCTATTCTTGCTGTGATTCTGTCACATGGCTTACATAAATGGTTGATATAAAAGGAAATAGAAAATTATTAAATATATAAGATTTTGTAATTTCATTTCTGTTATAGATATGAGTCCCAAAAACTATGTATATATTCACAAATTTCTTAGAAATGAATTCAAATCCACAACAAACAGAAGAATAAAGTGAAAAACATAGAAGAAAATTTCGGACATCCTCAAAAGACCTAAGCTTTTGGCCCTGTTGCATGAGGGGCTCTGTATCTTGCAGCATATCTGTTGAATAAAGCTAGAGAAATGCTTGTAACCTGTTCAAGATTAATCACCTTAGCCTTGATCATGGCTTTCGTCTTGCCCCCGATAGCCCGGCTGGAGAACCCGTTGATACAAATACTTGCATCAGATTGGACAGTGCTCATCCATGTCTCAACATTGCTTGCATGCCAAGGAAACTCACTTCCACCATTTTCTTTTATCTCCTCTACTTCTTTGATACAATTTGTGAGCTGATCCACCCCATCATTAATCTGATCTAAGCAATCCTTCACTGCTTGGTAGTCCTTAGCCTTTGTTTGTTTGAGTTGCTTAGCCACGTCTGTTACGTAGGCTCGTGTGGATTGAGCCCGGGAAAGGCTAACCCTAAGTGCGATATTGACTAATTGCTCGTGAGTTTGTGTTTTCGTAAAATTAGAGAGATAGTAGGATAGACAACGGACACATAGGTCGGGATAGAGCGTGGCTTGACACTGGAATTCAACGAATGCCCTAGCACGTGAGCGTCCGCGAACGGCCGGATGTTTTGCCCAGGCGACCGACGAGATGAAAAGAAGAAGTATGAAAGAAAGCCTAATTTGTGCCATGTGCTTGTGATTAAGAGATGAACTTCTAATATTATTTCGTGATTTGAGTACAAAAATGAAGAGGGACTTGTTTGGTTTATATAGGGAGAGATTGTCACAAAGTTTAAGCATTGAACATCTCTACTTTAGACTAACGTGTAATACTAGATTTAATTATAATATTTTGTTAGCAGTTTCCAAGAACTAGGTGCATGGTCGGTTTTGGGGTTCAAATGAGCAAACAAAGATCCTTAATTCTTGTTTAAGTAATTAACTTGGCAAAATCAGTGCCCTTTGGCCTTTAATCAAGTATCTTACATTGAATTTAAATTTAAATCAGAGTCAATATTGAATTTTAATCACATATTTTATTTGACCCACACCTTTTCAACCACAATTATTTTAGTATTAAGAATAATTTGCACACAGATTGGTTGAAAAAACAAATAACAAAAGGAAAAATGCTGTTGATGGAAACAAATTGAAATATTTCAATTCTGATTTGAGAAATGCTAGGGATCAATATCCATATACATGGTGGGCCTCCTAATTCGTTGTTTAATAGAGTTAAGAAACTACATTCTACAATAAATTAAAGGGTGCATTGGACAAGAAGTTTTCCAATTTGATCAATTTCTAGAAATGTTCATAGGTAGATAATTTTTCTCATCATCCAATTATGTTGAAATGGGTACATTCAACGATGATGAGAAATCTTTCGAGTGAAAGTAACACGAAAATCTGAATAACTTTTTTTTTCTCAAAATAAGTATTTATTAATGCAAAAATTAAAAATTTATTAATTCTTCCAATATAAAACTAAGCCCTAGTTTGATCATCATTATTTCTAAAATATATTTTTCACTTTGTTCTTTTCAAGCACACATTTTTCAATAAAATAATATTACACACAAACTCAAAATTTTTTCTTATTTTTTAACCATATGTTCTCTATTAATCTATTATTCCAAAATACATTCTTAGCCAATAATGGGGCTCAAACAGGGATAAGTCTCCATAAATTTACACCAGCAAGTAATGAGCACGCTTATCGATTTTTCGGCAACTTGTGACAAAGAATAATATCAAAATCAATATTTTTTGTTATAAGAAAAAGACTTGATGCTGGTATATGAACGTGCAGATATTCAAGAATCATGTATATGAATTAACTCTTAAGATTAATTGTACAGTTGTATGAAATTTGCAAGTGGTTCATAAAATAACGATTTTCCTTGATCTTTATAGCTCTACCTCCTAGCCTTTCGATGACATCATAAGAATGAAGTAGACGCAAAAAGGACATTTGCACGAGTAAAATTATTTGAGACTGTGTTTGATGGATATTATTGAGGAAATAATGTATTTTATATAGTGATAAAATGGAAAATATGTGGTTAAAAAGTAAGGAAAAGTTATTGATGTGATAGAAAATATTATTTTATTGAAGAATGTGCGATTGAAAATGAATTTTGAAAGAATGTATATCAAATAGAAGCTGAATAATGCTACTTTGTCACATGTGTTTGGTAGAGATTTTTGGGGGAAAAATTGATTTTTGAATAGTGATATGATGGGAAATGTGTGGTTGAAAAAGAAAAAAAATTATTGATGTGATGGAAAATATTATTTTATTGAAAAATGTGCGATTGAAAATGAATTTTGAAAGAATGTATATCAAACAGAAGCTGAATAATGCTACTTTGTCACATGAATTTCACATCCTGCATGACAAATGTAAGTGTGATAGCAAGTTGTTTCGCGCGGTTACTCGCTAACAATTAAAAAGGGATCAGACGATTGTGTAAGGGACAAGCCTCTTAGAACAAAGTCTCAAAAAGGGGTGTTTATGAATATAAAAATTACAATTTGGATAAGATCAAGATGCCTCCAAGGGGCGCAAGCACACAAGTACAAAGAAATTGAAGTAATTAAAATTAATTTAAGGAAAAGTTAATTACATATTCCCTGTTTGAGAGTGAATTTTGTCGGGCTTTTCTTCATTGCATTCCTCTTCCTTTTATAC